TGCAGCCGGCGCTGCGAAGGCGGCAGCGTCGTCGGGCGACGCCACGGCGCCGTGGGCGCTGCCGTCACCGCCGGTTCTAACAAGGCAAGCGGCGGCGGGCGGCGGCGGCGGCGAGAGGGAGAACTGCTCCGTGGCGATGACAAAGCCGGCGGGCGCCCAGGCGGAGGGAGCGGCCACGCTCACCTCGACAGAGAGGAAGGCCTCGCGAGGCAGCATCGGGTTGCGACGCGAGGCGGCAGCCGGGCCGCTGCGGTGCTCCCAGCTCAGCTCGACCGCGGCGTCAAAGATGGCGCTGCAGTGCGGAGGCACCGGCGCGGGCAGCGGCGCCGGCGCCGTCTCTCCCACCAGCGCTCCGTCGACCTCGAGCCGGTGCCGCACCCGCACCCCTCCCAGAAGCACGAAATCGTACCGGTTCTCGACCCGCAGCCGGGCGCGCAGGAGGCGCGCCGCGCCGCCCAGCGCCGCGCCGCCGCCCGGCGCCGCGCCGCCGCCCGGCGCCGCGCCGTGCTCGCGAGGGGAGTAGTCCCAGCTGACGAGGGAGAGGGCGACCGGCCGCTGCACGTGCTTGACTTCCTCGAGCGCGGGGTGCGGCCTCCGGTCGGGGAAGCACAGCCCGTTGATGTTGAAGTCTCCGTCGTGCGTCGCCTCTCCAAAGTCGCCTCCGTACGCGTAGTACGTGCGGCCGCTCCGCACGTCGACCCGCGCAAGCCCCTGGTCGATCCAGTCCCACACGAAGCCGCCCTGCCCGTGCGACGCGCGGCGGAACTCCTCCCACCACTCGGCGAAGTTGCCCGTCGAGTTGCCCATCGCGTGCGCAAACTCGCAAGGGATGAGCGGCCGCGACGCCGCGAACCCGTCGGCGCGCGCGGGCCACGTGCGCGTGGGCGAGCCGTTCCCGTTGACCGACGAGGAGCCGAGCTGGCCGGGCAGGGTGTCCATACGGCGGTACTGCTCCACCGTGGGGTACATCGGGCAGAGGATGTCCGTGGGCGCGAGGCCGCCGCAGCTCTCGTACTGCAGCAGCCGCGACGGCTCCTCCCTCCTCGCCCACGCCGCCATCAGCTCGTGCGCCTCGCCGTAGCCCGCCTCGTAAGGCGAGGTGAGGTCAGGCACACTTCTCCATGAGGTGGTGGGGCAAGGGTTAGGCGACCCTCGCGACTCCACGTCTAGGCGACAGGAGGCCTCCGGCATTCAAAGTGCAAGGCCGGATGCGCGCGGATGAGGTCTCTCTCTGTGTGTGTGTGTGTGTGTGTGTGTGTGTGTGTGTGTGTGAGGAGAGAGAGAGAGAGAGAGAGAGAGAGAGAGAGAGAGAGAGAGAGAGAGAGAGAGAGAGAGAGAGAGTGTGTGCGTGTGTGAGTGTGTGTGTGTGTGTGTGTGTGTGTGTGTGTGTGTGTGTGTGTGTGTGTGTGTGTGTGTGTGTGTGTGTGTGTGTGTGTGTGAGTGTGTGTGTGTGTGTGTGTGTGTGTGTGTCTGTGTGTCTCTGTGTCTGTGTGTGTGCGTGTGTGTGTGTCTGTGTGTGCCCGCCTCGTTGCCGAGCGACCAGACGATGACGCACGGGTGGTTCTTGTCGCGCTGCACCATGCGCGCGAACCGCGCGAGGAAGGCGAGCCGCCACGAGGGCGTCTTGGCGAGGATGCCCTCGTCGCCGCTCGCGAGGAAGCCGTGCGTCTCGATGTTTGCCTGAATTGATCAATTCATCGAATTTGATAATTAGTTGATTGCGTCTCGGCCTGGTCAACCACCCGCAGAGAGATTAATAATGAAAGTGAAGTAGCTAAGGAGATGGTTAGACGTCTCCCTCGTCCACCAGCCACAGCTAGTAAACAATGAGTAGTTGGTTGCTCAGCCAGCTAATTAGGCGGTCGCGCCTCGTCCACCACCCACAGCCCGACCGCGTCGCACAGCTCGTACCAGGCCGTGGCGTTGGGGTAGTGCGCGGTGCGCACCGCGTTAAAGTTGTGCCGCTTCATCGTCAGGGCGTCGGAGAGCATCTCACCCCACTCCACCGCCTTGCCGCCCTCGGCGGAGTGGTCGTGCCGGTTGACGCCGCGCAGGGTCAGCGGCGAGTCTACAGATGCGGAATGCGCCAGCCCTCGGGGCGGGAGGGCGGTACTGTGCAGAGTGTTCACAGCGTGCTGTGAATACGAGCGACACAAACACAGTGGATACAGCGGAAGACGGCGGAATCCAGCGGAATCCGTGTCCTCTCGAGCGCTGGCCGGAAGACCTGAACGCGTATTCTGCTTCCAGGGCCCGCTGCCCCCGCTCGGGAGAGATGGGGAGATACGGGGGGAGATACGGGGAGATACTCCGCTTCTAGGGCCCGCTGCTCCCGCTCGGGAGATATGGGGAGATACGGGGGGAGCTATGGGGAGATATTCCGCTTCTAGGGCGGCAAGCCGTTGACGGCGAGCAGCCGCGCGCCGCCCGCCTCCACCATGCCAACCTGCCGGAGGCCGAGGCGGCACGACTCCACATCGACCACCGTGTAGCCTCCGCCTCCGCCTCCGCCTCCTCCGCCTCCGCCTCCACCTCCGCCTCCTCCTCCTCCTCCTCCTCCGCCTCCTCCTCCGCCTCCTCCTCCTCCTCCTCCTCCTCCGCCTCCTCCTCCTCCTCCGCCTCCTCCTCCTCCTCCGCCTCCTCCTCCGCCTCCGCCGTACTCCCTCAGCTCGAGGACGAGCGTGTACAGAAACGGCCTCTCGGCGCTCCACAGCGCCGCGCCCTCCAAGTCCGCGCGCAGCGACACCTCCGCCTCGCCGCTCACCACGCCGGCCCGCCACCAAACACCGAGCTCGCCCGCACCCCACGCCGCCTCCGCGGCCGCCTCATCGACACGCCCGCCCGCCGCCGTCCCCCGCGGCCCCGCCGCCGCCACCGCTACCCCACCCGCGCCGGCGCCGACGGGCAGCGCGCCGTCCAGCGAGACCGCGCCGCGCCACACGCACCCGCACCCCGGCGGAGGCGCGTCGGGCGCGAGCCGGTACGGACCGTGCAGAGACGCTGCAATCTCGTACCGCCGGCACGCCTCCGCCGCAGTGGCGCTGTCGGCCGTCGTGCCGCCCGCCGCTTTGCCCGCGGCAGCGAAGACGGCCCCGC